GCAACTGAAGCACAAACTTTTTGGCTGGGTTTCACCACATAGCAGGACATATTATTTGTAAGAAGATTTAATTAAAAACTCTCCAAAAGGCACCAGTAGCAAGAGCATGGCTCGGAGGTCCACTTCAGTGACTCAGGATTGACTTGTTTTTTGAATCCTCAAGTGGTCACTAGAGGAACTGCAGCTTTTGATACTTCAGCACTGGCTTAGATTTTCAGCCCTTGGTTTGCAGCTTCTTTTGAAACGTATGTTTTTTGTTTGTTTGTTTGTTTGTTTGTTTGTGTTTTTTAGGGCTTGTTGGGTATATTGGTGTCTAAAATTGTATGTGTGAGTGTTTGTCTCTGGAAAGACAGGCTGTCTACATAATAGCCCTGTTTTTACTCTATGACAGTTGTGATTGGCTACAGTTCATTTTAAATTGATACATTTTAATGATTAAAAAAATAATGATTGTCACTGTTTATTTATGTTTAGCTTTTATAAACAAATATCAAAATATCTAAACTACATTTTGCAATTTCTTTTGGGATTTTAACTTTTTTCCAGGGTATAGTGAAACTCTAATTTGAGATGGAGAGTAGATGACCTGCTCTGACTCCCAGAGTTGTGATTTTTCTTTCTTTATGTGGATGATTGTTGGCACTCTGGCCTACAGATTAAACCCTAATCTATCATCTGCAATCTCTTTGTTACCAGTGTGAGCTTTTTTTTCTATTTTTTTTTTGCTGAAATACTTTAAATGTGCTCTGAATAATTTCTGCTTCAAATGCAGGTAACTGGTAATAACTAAATTAATTTTTCTTGGTGTGTAAATCTACTTTCCAACAATCCCTGTTGAAGAAAACCTGTTTCTTTTCTTTACCTTACCATCGTCAAACAGTCAGAAAATTAATCAATTACGTTGGAGAAATTTGTTTCAGTCATTTCTTTCGCCCAAATAACAAAAGCTACCCTTTTGGTGGAGATGAAGTAGGGTGCCCTGGTCTTCTTTGTTACACTTCACTGATTCTTGGTGGTGTTTTGGATCATTTAGCAGTTCACTGTGACATTTAGTGCTATTAAATTGTCTTTGAAGGTTACTTTAAAAACAAGCCTGGCTCGTTGTTCCTAAAATCAAAAACTTTCTGCTAGATAATGTTGACATCCACTATCAACATTTATATTTTTAAATTATTTATATTTAAAATGCATGCTACCAGTAGTAAATTCACAAAATATTAATAGATAAAGATGCAAATTATGACGTAACACATGGTGGTGATTGTGATTTTCTGTTATGACCTCTGTAACTGTGGAGCTTAACTAAAGTTTATTACCATCATGTCACAGACCTGCATCCATGGATTAAGAATAGACTGATAGCTGAGATTTATAAACACATTTTTGTTTTGTTTCCTACTCTAAGAATTTACTTTTTGCGCCTTTTAGCCATATTTTTGAGTTTTGTTTTCCTCAATCAAGGATAATAAGGACAAAACAATGATAGAACAATGCCCTCAGTCTGATTTTGAAAGTTCTCTCGCTGCAAACAGGCAACCTCAATCCTTGCCATCTCATGTTCCTACACCAGTAAACTGCTGGTGAGAGGATTCCTTGTTCTGCACCAATCCCTTGAGAGCAGATGACACTTTTTAACCAGAACCTGCAGCAGGTGGAGAACTGGTTCTGTTACTGAGCTCACTGAGGCTGCAGAGCAGGACAAGGACTACACCATTGTGGCGTTTGATGCCGTTCATAGGCATGTCAATGGTGCCAGCCCTGCTGCAGCTTTTATGGATTTTTGGAGGGTTGTCTAATTTTCCTTTTAGGAAAATTGGGGTCTCATCAGACTGCATTTTGTGTGACATAATAAGTGGTTATCAAAATACTGCCCTCTGCTTTCTTTTTATTCAGTGCAATGACCCAAGTCCTGCGTCCTTCTTTGCACTGTTTGCTCTGTTAAGTAAACACCTGCTTATGTTCTGTAGGTCATTTGTCAGCCTTTAAAACAAACAAGTGTTAAGGCATTTCTTTGCTGGCCTTCAATTATTCTAAATGGCTTGGCCCTATCACTGTACAGCATTTAAGAAGCTGCATTTAAACCATCTGGATTGAGCTACATTACATGTGGGAAGCCACAGTCTCCTCAGCACTTCCATCTGTCTGTAACTTACTAATACAGTGTTTTAGGCACAGATGGAAGAGCTGATGGCTTGGCTAGTATTAAAAAAAGCCCTTACAGTTGCAGTAACCCTGCAGGCAGTTTGGTAACATTAGTTTTAGCGAACACCACAAATCTTATCATCCTGCTGATGAAGGGAGATTCACATGAACCAGTTAGCTACTGCTCCTCTCTCACGGTTTCTCAGCTGAGACCACCAGTCTATTTTTAGACTTGCAGAACATGTAAAGGGTTTACAGACATCTTTGTATGTGCGTGTGTGTTTGTGTGTTTTTTAATAACAAATATAAACCCTAATTTCAGTTAATATAGGGTTGCATTTTTTTTGTAGTTCGAACTGTGGAGTAGACTTGTTTCAGTTTAGTCTTTGTAGTTACATTTAGTTAAATTTTAAACTCAAACAGCTAAAGGATTGAGTTGATGATCATCTATCCATCCATCCTGGATAGACGGGTGAAAGAACATATGGATGGACACATCTCTGATTCTATGGAAATTATTATTGGTTTCAAAGTGGGGGTGGAAAAAGTTGCTCTGGGTTTCTGGACTTCTACCTCCACACCTAAAATGACAACAGACCACTGCCACCATCTGGAAAGAAGTAGAGTCCATCTGCAGCTCATTAAACTGACGTATTACTAATAAAGCAATAATTTAGAGGTAAGGAGACAAGACAGCACTCATTTTGCACTAAATATTGAGCCCTGCTACTACAGTACACTGAAATAATCCTAATTACTTGCGGCACAGTCAAGTTTTCGAGAAATATTGGTTCAAGTAAAATGAACTACAGAAAAAGACAAATTCTAATTTACACTGATATAATCCAGAAGCTTTTGCCACTAACTGCAGAAGAAAATTATAGCTTACCCATACATGGCAAAATATTGTACATTTACAAGTTGTGCATCCCTTGTTTTGTCATTTTAGAAATTTCTTATGTTTCAAGTATTGATACACATTGATGTGCTTTTCTTTGTTTAATAGTCCTAAGGCCTGCATTGTCTCTTATGTAATACTGTGGGAATGTGTAGTTTCACTCAGAGCTTTTCTTGCATATGTAATGTTGCATTAAAAAATGTTTTTAAGTTGTTGTTGTTTTTTTTTTTTAAAATTGGTGGTTAGTAAACTTTTGCATTTATCAGATAGACATAAAAAAAGAATGCAGGCATTTCTCTATAATAATACCTCATAGACTTACTTTTGTTTTGTGTGGAGACCAATTGCTATTATGTGCGTTGTCACACCCTCCAAAAAGGCCCATTTTGCAGTGAGAAAAACCTTTATAACTGTAATTACAGTTAATTAAATGTAAAATAAATTGTGTGGTTCTTGGGTTCTGTAGATATTTATAAAATTAAGAAGAGATGCATCGCAACTTGAAAATTTGACCTGGAAAGAGCAAAAAATTGAAATGTAATGTTTTTTCCTTTTTATTTTAAAAAGGGAAAATGCAGATTAATTAACATGAACACTTTATCCCATCAGTTGAATAGACAGTATTTATCCATACGGGATAATTTTCATTAGATTAGATTAGATTAGATTAGATGAAACTTTATTAATCCCTCGGGTGGGTTCCTCCGGGAAATTCAGTTTCCAGTAGCAAAGCACCGAAAGAAGTTGCATGTTACAGATACATTAAGGGGAATGAGAGTTAGGATATAAGCATAAATACACCATATATACACATATACACATATATAGATACAGAATATACAATATGGATAAATAGGATTGCTCATTTGAGTGAGTATATTGCAAAGTGATTATTGCACAGTCGAATATAAGAAAAAAAGACAAAACAAAAAGCAAATATTGCACAGTGTAGAAAAGCACCTACAGCTCAGTTGTTCCCGCCCTCCCTTGTCCCCCTGTTTCTCCTCCCTCTCCCCTCCAGTGAGGAGTTAAACAGTTTGATGGCGTGTGGGACAAAGGAGTTTTTAAGTCTGTTGGTTTTTGACTTTGGGAGAAGCAGCCTGTCGCTGAATAGGCTCCTCTGATTGTTTATGACCGTGTGCAGAGGATGCCCGGCATTGTTCATAATGTCCATCATCATTGGCAGTACCTTGTAGTTTGATAGATGAAGCCTCTGGTGTATGGCATTCGACTTTTGGTGCAGTTCTTTCTTTGTTACTGTCAGTGTTTCATTCCCAGCACAATATTTACTGAAAACATGATTGTGCCACAATTAGGGTGATCTCACTGTAGCAGCAGGCTTGAATATTTAGTGTGAAATGAAGGCTGTCTTGTCTACTCACCTCTGGCACTTCTCACGGTCTTTTCTTGTCCTCTTCCATTACAAACGAAATTATTGCTGTACTAGCAATACGTCAGTTTGATGAGCTGCAGATGGACTCTGTACTTCTTTCCAGATGGTGGCAGCGGGTTTTTGTCTTTTTAGGTGTTGAGGTAGAAGTCAATTCAGAATTTTTAGGTATAATTTCTAAACCTTGCTCAACCTTAGAAAGTGATTTCCTGTGAAAACCCACAAACCCCACACGATTCCCTAACATGGAAAAGAATCAAAAAAAATCAAAACTTGTCCCAGGGTGTAGTTGTTGTTTTTTTTGTTTTTGCTTTAAACGAGGTGCAAGTTTTTGTGTTCAGCCTTTGCTCTTGTTGACAAGGAAAAATCCCCTCACTCTCAGGCTTCTTCCACGTGAAGTCTTTTTGCCATTGTGACTCAGATTTTCCTCTTTCTTGCCGACTTCTATAAACACACTTGTCACTTTTCACGTTTTCCAGCCTCCCCACAGCAGTAGTAGTCTCGCTGCTTCTCTTCTGCTGATTCAACATTGTGCTTTTGTGTGTGTGTGTGTGTGTTTTATCCCCTCAGTCTGGGAGAACAGAGAGGCGACGAGAAGAATGACGAGTTCCTGAGATGCTCAACGGACTCGTACATGATTTTCTAAGGCCTCCAGAAGCTGAAGACGGGGTGTCAGTGACAGGTAAGAGGAGTTTCTTGCATGCAGTACTGCTAAAACCTCTTCATATGTTGAGGCCATTTCCTCATACCCGCATTAGGTTTTCTCTAATGGTCATTTCCTGTTTGACACTTTGACGTTGTGACTTGGCTTCAGCGTGGCCCACATGTTGCAGCGTGCATAGTGCTGCCGTGGACGTTAACACATTCTTGCTGCGTGGGAGCTTGCAACAGATCTTAATCATGGATAGGGTATTGCTGTAATTCCAGAGCGGGAAGCATAACCCTAATCTCTTTGCCACATTATACAGTAAATCAGAGTGTGGTTAAGTCGGGTCCCTGCCAGCTCAAAACAGCCCATTTGTGTGGATTTATGTATGACTGGACTTGCTCAGTAGGACTACTTATTTTAATCTACAAACGTCCCTTTCTCTAGCTTCTCTCTTCATACTGATGAATCACCCTACTGCTGAAATTTTCTCAGCAGTTTTATTTGGGAGGTGTGCATGAATTGCTTTGTGCCATGGTGGATTATTTTGGAGGTAAGTGGTCCAAAGGGCTGGCTGGTCAAGGCCAGTTTTAGCTGCAGCGTCCAATGGGAGTGTGTCCCCATGCCGAGGCAGCACGGACACTGATGGATGGCCTAGCTTTCTGTTGGTTTCTGTTCCCAGACGGGAGCCGTTGTTATGAAACTATAGAAGGAAGCAGGATGACGGACCGCAGAGAGATGGCAACACAGCTTATTGTGGATGACCACCTGATGGGCAGCCGCTATAGATGTAGATAAAGTAGAACTGTGGGCTCTCGGGAGCCGTTTTCAGTGTTCACTAGAAATTATGTTACTCCTGGCACTCCAAAACATTTTAAGTATCACTGTAGGATAATAAACTTTATATGACTGAGGAAGAAAAACTGGAGACCACAGACAGATGTACCCAATATTTCTGCAAAGCCACACTGGAATCATTTAGTTTACTGGAATTTCCCTCTAATATTCCTCATGGTTTTAACTCGGCTGTCCTGCAGATAGAGAAGTTACAGAATTTTACTTTACTGCTGCTTCAGCCTGTAAATCAGTTCCCTCAAATAGGGGCTGAGTCATGTTGGCCATCCCATGCCAGTAAAGTGGTAGTGTTAATGGTGGCATTCACAGCGGTGATTTGCAGCCTGCGTCTTTAGTCCAGCAGTTGTGGCCTCCAGGCGGCTGATTAATGGTGCTTGTTCTCAAATGGTAGCCTCCAACGGAGAGCAGTTTCTGTTGCTTTGGCTGCAGGCTGATGAGACCTCACTTGTGGCCCATTTAGTATTCTCAAGACCTCCCATTGAGACTTGATCAAGAACGACCTTGAACTCCATCCCCAGCATCACGTCTTGTTGCCTGAAGGACAAACCTTGTGCCTACTACTGTGACCCAGTTCTACGAGCAGGGAAAGAGAGAGTTGAAAAGGAAGAGGGACAAATCTGTGTTTGTATGTGTGTAAGGCGGTGGTGGCAGGGCATAGCCTACTTCTCGTACCCTACTTTAGCCCTCTCTTTATGTGGGAGCAACTGAGCTACACTGACTACACCATCTCCTGTTTCCTTTTTCCTTTTTTTCATGTTTATTGACCAGATGGTGGCTTACAGGTCGAGGCAAACGCTGAATGCTGCCAAAGCCATGTTGGAATAAACTTCAGCATGTCATATCCTCGATTAAACTGCGATTACTGTCTGATAATCCTAAATTGAAGTTCAGTTAGTAATGCTGGTATAAGAGTAAGCCAGCATGCATGAAACTTTAATAAATTTAAATTGTTACTCAACCTATACCCACACAACACTAAAAGCAGACATGCGAGATTAACAGGGCAGCATTTAGAAACTTAAGAAACAAATATTTGTCTCAAATGTTGGTGGAAACTGTATAAACCATACCTCTATTTATACCCACTATAACTATATTTGTTGATTTGTTTTAGTATTTTCTTAATTTCTGCAGTGAAGGGAATGAGGGAATTGTATAATTGATTGAATATATCAATAGAGAGCTTGCAGACGTTTGGGTTGTATTTAAGGTCTAGAACCACATATGAAACAGAGAAGATGGAGAGCGTGTACATTGTCAACATCATCTCTGCTTTTAAAATTGGGCTTCAGACTTTTGTAGTTGGGGCTAGATGAGGTTCTTTTTGGTTTTGCTGGAATAGGCTCAGCCTGCTGAGGAATTTCCTATGATACACTTGGCATTCATCACCACCTGTCTACTTCCCTCTTTTAATTCCTGATGCATTTATATGCTTGTCTGTAACTTTTATCTGTTCTCTCCTATAGTTAATGTTTTGTCTCATTTGTTATTCGTGGTCTCTTTGTGGTCTCTTCTCTTTCTTCTCACCCCAGAGTTGGTTGCACTAGATACCCGCACCTACCTGAACCTGGTTTCTTCCTCTTAAAAGGGAGTTCTCTCGTCCCACCATTGCCAAGTGCTTGCTCATATAGAATTTTATGATTGCTGGGGTTCTCTCAATAGAAAACACCTTGAGGTGACTATTGTTGTGAATTGGTGCTATATAAATAAGACTGATTTGATTAATTTGAAAGTTCAGTGCTGCCAAGCTCGCTCAAAACACTTTATCTAGTGGATAGTTTTGTGGCCATGTGTAGTTTCTTTTATTTCATTTAGACAGCATGGTGGCTTAATTAGTTAGCAATATTGTCATAAAGCAAGAGAGTCCTGGTTTGAATCTAGACAGTTTGCATTTTCTCCCGGTGGTTGTGTGGGTTTTCCCCAGGAGCTTTGGTTTCTCCCACCACTGGAAAAACATGCAAAGTTAATGCTGTCTGTCTGGACAAGGGCTGACAGTGTATATTCTAAATGAGATTATATAATCAAATATTTTAAAAAAGGAGGGTTTTTTGAGTTCTGGTAGCACTAATCCAGACAAGAGATTCTTAATCTCCTGGTTTCTGGGTTCATTAAAAGTGAATAATAATCCAGTGAAATACCATCTTGCTGTCAGATGTACTTCATGTCCACTTTGTTCCTCCTCCTGCTCTGAAAATATGCTGTAATCTGAAGGGCCGTGTTAACCAGAACCAACAGGAGGAGAACTGATTCATGTGCCACGATGCTGAACTTTCAGAGGCCATAGAGCAGAAAAACGACTACAATCGCTAGCTGCAGTCCAAGAC